GAATTCTGCTTACAGAAGAACGAGACAGAGGCTGCTAGTGGTGCAGGGATTGGGACCGTAGAAATAATATAATATTCACTATCTTTTTGTATTAAATAATCAAATATAATTACATTTTATTAATTATTTGATACAAAATTGCATGTAAAGCAAAAGCAAGCTATCCAAATGCTTGTAATGACTTGTATATATTGTAAGACAATACTATACTGTCAAAAAATAATAAGTATATTTTAACATTATTATCTTGAGAGGTATGTTATAATCACTTATATATCTTGACAATATGTACAATCATAATTAATATCAGTAATTTCAATAATTGTTCTAGATTCTCATTATACTTGTATATAATTATAATTAACTTGTGAAAACCCCTATGAAGAATATAATTGCTTCAACAAAATTTACAAAAAGTATAAAATATACCTGGTTATAATCTAATACAAGTGTTGCGACTTTTTCGTGATGTGGACAGTTGGGAAAGCCATGTACCTTCTTGTAAGCTTTCCATATTCTGCAACAATGAGAAAGATGTCTAAAATGCTGGAACAGACAAGATACTCTGGTTCTCTGTTTCTGATGTAAGCACAGAACCTAGAGACAACTTGCTATTGACTTTGAGCATGCTTTAGTGTGGCCTCCTCAGGCACAGTATTCTTTGGATAGGATAATTATTACTTGATGGTCCCAAGGTAAACTATCCCTTTGCTACTTGTTATCAGTCTTAGACTCTGTTGGGTTGATCCTTCCTATTAAACCATTAGTCCTTGTGAGTGACATCAACATTTGACTGGATTTGGACAAAAGTTAAAGAAGATACTCTAGATTTGTCTGGTCATCTATATACTGGATTAGGGACTACAATAATACTGCTAGCTGAAAGTGAGTACCTTATTTTTATTATTATAGTATATGTTTAAATAAGCAATTTCCCTTACAGTCATCCTCATGATGTGTGTGTATGCTTTGTTTGGGGGCACAAGGAGAATACTGGTTACATTCTCCTTATTAACATTACTCCTCTTTGGGTTTAACATTCTCCAAATTGAGATTAATCTTAGTAAGAAATTTTATCTGTATTATGTATTACAAACTAACAGACCTTCTACTGAATTTGTTACTAAAGCTCAGCAGGACATACCAGCCTTTATAAATCCTTTCAACCCTGTTACTATGGCAGACTTAAGTATGGGTAGAGGGAGTCTATTAGAATATTGAATGTCTGGTATTGCATGGGCAGTAACTTCTTTCATTGAGTTGCTCTTATTTGTTCTAGTTATCTGGAAGACTGTACAGTTGAAGAAGTCAAAGCTCCCATTGTGCATTTTAAGAGGAAGCTCAACAAAGACACAGGACATTACTACTTTAATAGCAAGAGACTCTACTACATACTTTACAGTGTATGTGTTCTTTCCTACTTTTTGTCATGTTAAGTATTGCTCAGCCTTCATCTAGAATATTCTCTGTTTGTCTCCTTGGCACCATTTTAACATTTATTACTGAGCAGAGTTCTCTGAATGGTGTGAGTTGACACTATACTATACATTATGAGTTTATTAAGTTTTTTTTTTTCAAGGGCTATTTTGGCGTGTTCTTCAATACCGATTTGAATGCATACTTAACAGTCGTGATAACAATCATGACAATCCTTGCTCCAAAGATGCTCATCAATCTTCGAGCAGAGTGTTATGGTCCGGTCGGCATAATTGCAACAGAGCTTTCTTGGGACGCCCAGAGTGCTGCAGTACAATCTAGTTGACAGACAGCTAACAATATTGTGAAGTGAATGGTGCATTTGCACATCTGTGGCTGCTCGTGATAGAGGATCGGTGTTTGTGTTCATGGATTTAAAATAAATAAAATATAGAATGGAATTAATCAGTAGTGCTTGTTTTCATTCTTAAGGAAAGCAATCATTTGTACGCTAGTGTTAGACCTGAGCGTGTCTGCCAGTATAAATTCAACATACAGCTCAAATCTACAGAGAACGTACAAATACAACTAGGATAGTTTCCCCTAGTATGATGCTGATATATTCATGAACACGACAGATGAAAGTGAATGACTGCATAACCAGTTTCACATGCCAGCTCACTTGCCATTTGTCTGGTCGAACGATTGTCTTGCTTTATGGTTTTCTAAAAAGAAAATGTGTTATGGTTAGTTCCTCATGCAACGGAGAACTCTTAGATAGGTCAATGATCTGCGAAAATGAGAACACGTTGGACTACGCAGCAGCCAGCGGCCCGGGGTGACATTCACTTGGTGACACCTACACCTTTAATCTGCTACCTCAATAAAAGGTTGACAAAGCGCTGGTGCAGCAGAAAACGCAAACGCATATCTTCAAGAATAAACGCGTCGCTCTCTGCCTCCACACACAGGTTCGAGAGAGTTAGCTTCCTCAGCATCAGTGTGTCATGCGGCAAAAGACTCTCTCACAAAACATCCCGGAACAGCAATATCCGCAACCTGCCATCGACAACTCTGCCTCGCAATGTTACGTATGAAGTCCGTCATTGGGTGTTGTCTCTACGCACTCTGTCTTCCTCTGAATCACTGGATTTTGCTGTATTTGTACGTCTAGGTTGTAGTACGTAAGCGCGACAAGCCTGAAACGAAGATGACAGTTTCCAGAGCGTGCTATCCATAATTCAAAGGTGCGCGTTGCGACAGCGTAGGGGTGCAGGAGGAAAAGACTGATCGATGACCATAATTCAGGAGAACGTTCAGCGAGATTGCGCCAGTACTTGCAGACTTTACCCTACCACGTAGAAGAAGCGCAGTCCTGATTGAAGGAAGGCGAAATCGCATTTGGAAGACGAGCATGGCAGCAGATGATGCCCAGGATCTCCAGCTGGCAGTGTTGAACATGTTGGTTCGGACGGCGCAGACCGAAATCGAGGTCGTTGTTGGGCGAGGAAGATGGCTTGATCCGCTACGGCAGGAGCAAGTGATGATCATATCCTGAGACACGGAACAGCAAATGTGGATGATCAATCGAGAAAAACGAGAGACGAGAGAGGCGTTGGCCAAGCTATCGATCAGCGGGAGCAACGACCAAGGCGGCATTGAAACGCCGATCTAGTCTCGTTTCCATAATTAGACTTCAATTTAGACAAGCCAATACCCTTCCTTCCAACATCCATCCTCCAACGACATGCACACAAAAATACCCTATCTCTATACTGTATACGAATCAGCGACCAATATTAATCTCCGCCTCGAAGAACGCGTACATGCATCGATCATTTCATTTCCAGCTCTACAGCACATTCAATCTGGTACGGCCAGAACGTCTGAACTTTGCTGGCCCATACGTAGAACATGAGTCACTCGCACTGCTTCTCGATCTGATTTTACTCAATACGAGATGTCTTTTGACACCTTTTGTTCAATAGAGGATACCAGCCGAGACGTGCTTCGAAGACTTCAAGTCAGTCAGAAGCCGACCAGAAGGACCGAGTACAAATTATTGAATATCAGATAGAAAAGGTATTCCCGGAGAACAAGTCACTCAAGAGACGTGACTAGGATCGTTGGAAACTGATTTTGCAAGCCAGGATTGTGCTCATACTCGTGGACTCTTATGAGAGTGAATTGCTTTTCTTTGACTCGCATGTCCTAATTCCCGATTTCGGGAATGTATTTTCCTTGGTTATTAGATGGTCACATCTCAGTGAGCTTGAACCATGAATGATGCCATATCGCTTTTATGGATCTCTTGTAGAACCCTTAGAGGCTTGCGAGACAGCAAATTCGGCATTGTGGAGGAACAATGAAAGCGAACCTCTTCTTCACACCTTTGCTGGATGGATAATGGGTGGGCTATTCCCTGAATTCATGTCTCTCCTAAAATTGAGTTCAAAATGCAGAGATGAGTGAATTTCACCTGGGTATCGTCTTAATTTTTGCTGCAGTCTTAAGAGGTATCAGTGTATGGACATCAATATTCGCGCCATCCAGTCAATCCAAACGGAGCAGCGTCAGAGACGAACTCAGGTAATATATACTCCCTATCCACAACATTCCCTATATTCTTAAATGAGATCTTCCATAGGCTACTGCACGTTCCACTGACACTGCTATCTTCTTCCCTGACCTGACAAAACTATTTCTGCTTCACTTTCTTGCCGTCTAGAAACCGTCTTTAGCTCCTTCCAACCATCCTGTTTCACTGTTTCAATAAAGTTGAATGCAACGGAGGCAAGCTTATTTCGCGATGTAATGGCGCATGATGTTACACGAAGGGCCCTTAAGATTCTTGATGACGACAAGCTCGATCGAGAGTGGGTCGTACGAAACATGCTCGGTGATATGGCAGTTGGATTTGGCTCGCGAGGTTTAAATCAATGTTATCTTTACTCGCGGCAATCCTGACTCTATCGATTAATTTTTTTTCCAGTCGTGCTGGATACTCAACCCGTGTTTACGACGATAATCATTCTGACCGGGTATGCTTCATCTTGTGTTTGTTTTGCTCTATGCGTGCCTAACTGCTCTTCTCTTTGCATTCGTCAAGGATGGGCTGCTAAGACGTTTGTCGCAGCTGCTGTTTCAACGCGGATGAATAAGGAAGATCTGACAAGAGATGTCTTCCTGGCATATAGCATACCATAGTAGACGAGTTGGATTATACTTGCATATGCTTTCAATTGACAGTTCGCTTTCAGCTAAAACAATGTTGGGTTTAACGACTCCAGCGAGCAGAGGATCCTTTTGCTTTTCTTCTCAGACGCGGACTTTAAACCTATCGTATCTCTCGTTGTCCTAACATTCTTGCAGTAAATCTTGCATATTTTGTGGTTATTAAGCGATCTCACAGCACGCTTTGGACTTTCTGCTATCTCCGGCAGTTTACTGTAATAGCACACCTCAGATAGGACGAATCACAACCTAACCCACATGGAGACGACCACAAGATCTGAACTTATATGATGTTGTCTATGGTACTCAACACCTTATGGTCACCACAGGTATAGAACAAAGTAGCAAACGAACCGCACTCCGTCCTTGATTCCCTGCAATGATCCAAATCTTCATCTCTGGATTGAATCAACCACTCTGCACGTGTTGATAGATTGGGGTGACGACTCCACATATGTAAATGATAGTCAAGATCTGAGTGCTCACTTCTTATTTACCATCTCAAGGCGGCGAAGCCAACGCTACCAAGCATATGGATTCTTTGTTATCAACAGTGCTCATAAATCAAACCCGGCCTAATTGTGAATGCCGACAAGCTCATATACGTGCATTAGCTCATGCTAGTGGATCTTCTCTACAAAGATCTTTCTCAAATGGCCCCCATTCAGATCGCAAAGGACGAGCTATTAATCATTCATTCAGTAACAGTCTCCAAGGCAGTTACAGGTTAGCAACTATGCTTGCTCTATTGACATTCAGTATTGTCAGTTTGATCAACATCTTTTATGGTTAGTCTCTTGTACAATGGTTCACTTGTATTATAATAGTGAGCCATTGCTTCCCTCCAAAGCTTTGCTTATCTTATGTCTGCAGCCTTACATTTATGGGTATGTGCTCTTACAATCAGATAACTGTTCTGAACCTGACTCTTTATAGAAAAAGCGTTGGACAACAGTAAAAGTCATATATCTTCTTGTTGGTTGTCCATCTTTCCTAATAAGAAGAAAGTCATCTTGAAATTGTAGAATAGACAAGGTACCTTGGTTCTGTCTTTTTAATATAATTTGAGAGCCCTGAAGATCCACCCATTATTAACTTTGAGCATCCTGTAGTTTGGCTTCAGGCACAATACCTTATGGATAGGACAGTAATCTGGTAAACTGCTACATTATTTTTAACTATGAATCTTATATTCTATTAGAGTTTCTTTAGCCCCACTTTTGCCTAGACAAGTAATAATTTTGAGTGATAAAACTGTTAAGCAGGTTTGGATGAAAATTAAAGAACCTGTTCTTAGTCTATTGAATCATCTATACACTGGATTAGGAACTATAATAGTACTACTGGCCAAAGGTGAGCTTGTTGTTTTGATTACTCTGTTGTATATTAACATGTGTATTTCTTCCTCCAAGTTATTCTTATAATGTGTGTTTATATTTTGTTTGGAGGGACAAAGAGAATGCTAGTATTCTTCTTAGTAATGTTACTCCTATTTGGGTTTAACATTCTCCAAATCAAATTTGATCTTTGTAAGGGACCTTATTGTCAGCAACAGCATAGAGGGGACCCAAAGGCTCAGCAAGGGGACCCAGGCTACAACTATCCTACACAACAGAAATACAGGACACAAGCACCAGAACGTAGTCAGGACTCACAGAATGGGCAGAGAGA